AACGTCCATTTCTAGGCGAAGCTGCTGCTTTGAGTTCGCAAGAAATCGTCTCTCAGCTCTACAGCCGACTGAAGAGCTTGGGCGAAAAGGCTCCAAAGTACCTGGAAGAACTGAGCAGAAAATTCGAAGCCAACAACGAGACGCGTCCAGGATTTTCAACGGACGGTGCCTTGGACTTGGGACACTTAGGGACGCAGGGGCGCCAATACAAGAAGCCCCTGGTGAACTTCAATAAGGACATTGATAACAGGAAGAAACGGGAAGTGATGGGAGCTTATGTGGACTTGAACAGGGACGACAGCGAGAACAACAACGCCAACGAAGATGTAAGAGCGGAAGCTCGGAAAATTTCACCATGAGTAGCGGATGATTGTCTTGTAGGGATTTGTTCAAGCTCCTGATGGCATAGCCGACCATCGGGGAATGTTAAACGAAACTACTGATCACGATATGAGCAACAGCGAGTTTTGGTCGTCCTTTTCCAGCTCGGAAGAAGCTTTGCTCAACTGTGAGGGCCTGATTTTGAATTTACCTCTCACGCCGCACCACAATTGCAGAAGCGACCTGTCCGAACAAGAAGCCGAGGAAACGTATTTGGCCAACTCCATTACCTACCGGTGAGTTTTGTTAGTAGAATCTCGAAGAATCTACGATTGGAACCGATCAACAATTTCAGGGTTCCCGTGAATGGCTACTATTTCTTCGTGTTCAACAGTGAAAATGAGGTGCAACCGAACTACCTCCGGGTGCAGTTTCACATCAACAAAGCGGTTTATAATCTAACGGATCCAGTGGCGGTGTGTGTAAACTCCTCGAATATGTGCGAGGTGGATTTGAAGTTTTTCTCATCGGAAAAACTGGTATTAGAGTTACCCGTCTTGGGCAATGATACTCTGTGGAACGAAGAGTTCATCATTGAGTCCGAGTGCGAGCCGAGAACTGCACTGTATGCAATTTGTGTGATAGCTGTTCCTGTTATTATTATTTTGTTTGCATTTTCTTGAATGGGAAAACTGTGATTGAAGCACTCGAGAGCTGAAGAGTGGTGTTCTTCAGACTGGGGCTGTAAATAGATATTATTATTTTCCATTTTGATTTTTTAAATTGTTTATTTATTGATTGGTCATCAACGAGCGGGACAAAAATGACCATTTATTGATCCGAGTGATGAATTGAGGGCCATTTATTTTTACCCGGAAAACGTAGAGCTTTATGTGATACATAAAGTAACTCTAAAGTGCGTTAAACCGCCCGTGCCAGCGCAACTAATTTTTAAATCAAATTTTATCCCTCTAAACGCTCCAACGGGCTGCAGTTTGTGGCACTCATAGAGTCAAGTGCGC